GTGTGTGTGTGTGTGTGTGTGTGTGTGTGTGTGTGTGTGTGTGTGTGTGGTGGGGAGTGTGTCCTAACACTGAGCCCTCAGTCACGCCCCACCTGCAGCCCTTCCAGCTTCTCCTGGAAGTTGTTCTGATCCATGATCTGGATTTTACGGAACTTCTCTTCATCCTCGGCATGCTGCTGCCGCACCATCTCTATCTGCCCGAGGAGCTTAGAAGGCCAGTTGCTGGCAGCCCATCTGGCCGGGACAGGGGTGGGATTAGAAGAAATACCACAGCTGAAATGATGGAGTGGAAGGCCAAGCAGGGGCATCCTGCCAGAAATCTAGGCAGCCAAAGTGAAGGGGAGAACAGGGGAAACCCAGGCTATGGTGGGAAGTCCAGGTGAGCAGGAAGGTAGCTACTGCCGCCAACAGAGAGGCTGCACTTTCCTCTGGGAGCTACGGTCAGCTCCTGTGAGATGCAGATCCAACATGCCAAGTGCAGTGATGGGAGGCAAACAAGAAATGAGAAGAGTGATGCTGAGTTCCCTTCTTAAGCCCCAGGGACCAGAAGGCCTTTCATTAGAGGAGGCAAAGCAACGGGTTATTTCTAGTCTGCATTTCCTTGGTGGCCAACCAGGGCCACCAGCCCAGCTTCCTTCATGTCAGACCAACCCCCCTTGCCCAGCTGACACCAGTGGTCTGTGAAATTTGGGGCTTCCATGTGCAGCAGCCCTAGGGATGCAGATCCAGGGAGAGTTTCCCACAAACACCAGGACACCCTGTCAGGCCTGTGCCTTGGGGCTCCAGGACAGGGTCCTGACGGTCCTCGTCTGCCCTTCCTGTCTGTGAAGCAGGACTGGGCAGAGGGGACTCTGGTGGCCTCATAAGCCTTGGTTGGAAGAGGGCCCCTGAGGCCCTTTCCCACAAAACAGTTGGGTAAGGACAAATGCCCCTCCCCAAGGACTGCCCACCTGGCTGGGCTTTGCCTCCTCTCAGTACTCCCAAGGGGCCCGGTCCAGGGTAAACATGAGTCAGGTGGTTGACAGGACATACCACTAGGGTACAGCTGGGTCCCTAGGTCATGAGGCCCAAATGATTTATTTCTGCTCCATTGGCCACCTAGCCCTGCCTGGTCCCCCTGTGGACCATGTGTGGAGCCATGGTCTCTGGCATCTCAGTAGGGCATTTCTGGTGAGACCACACAGCCTGCAGCAGCGGGGGCATTTAGGAGCCACTGAAGCTCAGCAGTTCTTCCCTCACCTCCTGCTGCTCCCCTCCTTCCCGGTGTGGGGACCAGGCTCCCACTCACTTGTCATTGAAGTCATCTGAGCTGAGGTTGTAGAGGAATTCATCCATGATTTGGTAGTCATCCATGACTTTTACAATCCGCTCCTGCATGGACAAGTGATGATGAGAACTGCATGTGTGCTGGGGAGGGCTAAGTAACTAGGACCAAGATCCCCAGAGTGGCTGGGTGCTAGGGAGGGGCTGCTCTTTTCCAGAGAAGGGAGGCCTTGGGCAGGGAAGGAGGCGCAGGGTGCAAGGGTAGCATTAGGTTCAGGGTTCAGGGCCATGGCCACCACACCCCCAACTTCCAATCATGTGACCTATGCCTCCAACCCTCCTGAGCCCCCAGACAGCATAGTCCTGAATCTCTATGGCACTCCCAGCTCACAACCCCTCAGCCCTACCTGTCCTCTGTGTATCTACCTCTCCTCCAGCCTCCTGGCTCCTGATCTCCCAGTTCCTTCCTGCTTTAGCCCTTGTACTCTCAACACCAGTTCTGCTTCTCCCAACCCCCAGCCCCCAGCCCCCAGCGCTCCATGTGCCTGCCTCACCTCCAGCCCCACCAGCTTCTCAGGGATGCCCTTCATCCACTCTCTCAGCTCAGCCAGTTCCTCAATGCTGTTGGGCTTCTCGTAGATCTTACGGCTGATGCTGCGGAACTCATCACAGATCTGGCAGTGGAAGAAGGGCGCTGGGAAGAGCATTGTGCTGTCCCCATGCCTTGTATGGGCCTGCTCCTCCTCCTCCATCTCCAGTGTCTCCCAACAGATAATTGTACCCTGCTACCACCACACCCAACAGTGGCTTCCAAGAGCAGTGCTCCTGATGGGCCCCCAGGTTGCTGAGGACTCTCAGTGGGGCAAGGGTATCACCCAGCATGCTTTATCCTCCCAGCCTCTTCCAACCCTATCAATACACACAGGCTTCAAGGCCTGCCCTTGCACACCCCTAGCTCCATGACAATCCATCCCAGGGTATCCTTTATGAAGGCTTCCCAGGTCTCTACAAGTCTGGGGAAGGAAAAGATAGAAACTCCCTTTCCTGGGACCTCCCATATGGAACTGGTCCCTAAAGACAGGCAGAGATTGGGCCAGGGTGACTTCCAGTTCTTTCCATTGGCCTGGGCATCTGCAGGCACCCTGCCTGCCTGGGGCTATCTTGCTAGTAGGAATACACTGTGTGTGTGAGGGCATGTGTGTGTTGCTATGGTCACTGAGGATGGGCAGGTGGGCACTTACGCTGTCCACCTCCTTGTGCAGGTTCTTGGCAAGGATGTCCAGCATGGAAGTGGCCAGGGCCTTGCGTTTTTTGGACAGGCTCTGCTTGATGTTGTCGGTGTTGACATAGAAGGGCCCAATGACAATGCTGCTGGGCAGTGAGTTGTCCAGGATCTCTTTTTCCTGTAGGTGGGTGAGCACCACCTCCCGCACCTCCTGGGCCAACGGGCACTTTGTCTGGTAGGCCCTGAGGACACGTAGCACACACAAGAGGGCAGAGGATGGTGAGCAGAGTGGGCAGGAGATACACACACACAGACACACGGATGTACTCCAGCATGCGAGCACGCACTTGAGGAAGGTGTTGATGTCATTGTTGTTCAGCTCCAGATACTTTCTGAACTCCTTGGCGTAGGCCTGCAGTGGGATCATGGCCTTGCGCACAGCGTTGGCAATGATGGCCCGTAGCTCCTCCACCAGTGGCTCATGAAACCCCACTGACTCCAGCAGGGGGTCACCGCTGATAAAGATGTCCTCCATCACCAGCTGTGGAGGAAAGGGACGGGGGGGGCAGAGGGGTTGGAGATGGAGCATCCTTCTGAGGAGCAGGGCAAGCAGGAGATGGTATGGCCTAAAGACTGTGTGGGTAGCAGTGTGGCCAAGCACAGTGAGCCAGGGGGAAGGGATTGCTGTGCTGTGTCTCACAAGAATAAGTAATTATAACTCCTGCTGCCACCAGGCCCACTGAGGGGCAGCATCTACCTCTGTCCGGGCCTGACTCAGCCCAGTGACAAGAAAAGGAGCAGAAGGGGCAACTGGGTCACAAAGGCTCTGATTGCCCAGCAAGGGAGATATAAGGGGCTTGTGTTACAGAGGTTCTTGGGCCTGGAAGTGGGCTATGTGCAGCTGGGTGTGTGTGCAGCAGTGGTTCTATGCATGGAAGACAACCTGTGTCCACCTCTTGAGATGAAGGAGGAGGCCAGGAGTTGAGTGGGATCAAGAGGTGGGATCTAGGTTAGACATGGCTATGCAAGAGTGGTCCAACAAGCCCAGGAAAGTCCCAACACTTAGCCGCTATGGGACCTTAGGCTAATGATTATACTTCTCCAAGTCTCATTCACAAAATGAGGATGTTAATAGTTCACAATGGAATATTTGAGAATTACAGAGCTGAGCACACCCCTGCACAGTGGGAGGTGTGTGATAAAGTTTAATTGCTCTGATACTTGTGGCAGTACCTTGAGGCTCAGGTAGCCACTAGCAGCCAGGGCAGCAGGCACCTAGGCCCACTCACGCTGCAAGGTGTACCTTCTCCAGCTGGGGCACAGCATGGGTGGCCAGGATGCCCTTGTCGAAGAGGTTGAGCAGAGATGCCTCAAACTGCTCCAGTGGTGTGCTGTAGTGTGCCCCAGAGCTGTCCAGCACCAGGTCCACAATGAACAGGGCATTCTTCCGAGGCCTGTGGGCAATGGCTGGGCTGACTATGGGCAAGGGCAGGAGGCCGGCAGGAGGCCCAGCCCTCTTCCCTTCCTGCAGCATGATGGCTCTTGAGCTTTTCCACGCACAATACTTGCCTCCTCCTTCCTCCCAGAAACCTCCAAGTTACCAGAGTTATCAAGTTATCGGGGCCAGCCAATGTTTCTTGGCTCCTGCCACATGACCAGAGGTCCACGGGCACCACGGGAGATGGAGGACCTCCCACTCCTGTCCTGAGGTCATCAGAGCAGGTGGACCAGGTCCTAGGCACTGCAGCCCCCACATTCTCCCTGGGAGCCAATAATTTGGCTTCAGATATCCACTGCTCACCAACAACTCTCAAGCCTTGGATCCTAGCTGGGGCCTCTGATGGTTTCTGACCATGCTTAGAATAACCAGTTCCCAGTCATGACTCCAGGAGGCCCCTGGGATCTGGCCTGACCCCTATGACCTCTCCCACTTCATCCTGAGCAGCCTCCCCCCTATTCTAACCACACCTGCCAGCCTTTCCTTCCTAAACTGTCCCATGCTCTTTCTCCCCTCAGTGCCTCTGCATGCATTGGTCCGTACTTGGTACTCACTGTGATCACATTGCCTCACGACTGATTTCTTCTCATCTCAGGTCTTGGCACAGAAGCCACCTCCTCCCTGACCCCCTGACAACACAGCCTCTGCCAAAATCGGCAATGACTCTATTTATTTGCTTGCTGTGAGACCAGGGCATGTCTCTCTTGTTCCCTTAGAACCATGCTGGTGCATGGCAAGTAATCAAAGAATATTTGTTGGCTGAGTAACTCAATGACTGACTAAGTGAATGAAGGTCATCAGAAGAAATGCAAGCCAGAGCTGGTAGGACATTGCCTGGCAGCCTGTAGGAACCTGGCAGTGCTGGACACTCTGGCCCCGGTTGCCCTGGTCCCACTGCCCTGCACCATCCCAGCCACTGGGGCCTGGCAATGAACTGTTCTGGTATCAACAGGTGCCTCCGCCCAGCTGGGCCCCACCTGTAAGGGCTGTTTATTAAGTCTTCACCCCAGACCATGTCATCAGTGCAGTCAAGCACACTGCAGCAGGCATCGCTGATGAACTGGGAGAAGCTGGCCAGCGAGTCCTGCACCAGGAAGCGCAGCGTGTCCTGCAGCATGTACTTGATCAACTCCATCAGCTTGCGCAGCTTCGACATGAGGTACACCTCCCAGTTGGTCTCGTACAGGTTGTACCAGCCCTTGCTCATGTCACGGAGGCTGCTGCGCATGGCGACCTTCAGCGTGCTGATCCAGCTGTCCTTGAGGAACATCTGCACCTGGAGTGGCCGCAGGTGTCATCACAGGGTCACCCCAGGGACCCACCACTCATAGCCATGACGCTCAGGGACTGTCAGCACCAGGGTGCTTGGGACAGCCTCAGGACTCATCTGACTATGGAAGAATCTCCCTCACCCCAACTTACTGCCAACCAATACCCTTATGTGACCCGGGGAAGGAGGGAAGAAGGGAGGGAGGAAGGGAGGATGGACGGGAGAAGCAGGGAGCAAGACAAAGATGCAGAGACTTGAGAAAAGAGAGAGGCAGAAAGACAGAGAACAAGACAAAAACAAGCAGAGAGGAAAAGACAGAGAATGAGGAAGAGACAGAGACACAGAATGAGGTAGAGACAGACACGGAATAGAGTGGATGGAGGCTACACCCCACCTCCCTCATACCCCAATTCTCAGGTCAATATGCAGGTGCAGGGGCTTCCTGCTCTTCTTTCTGAGACAAAGGTCTACTTCAGAGGCAACCAGAGTTGGGAGGGAACGTGATTGGAAAGTGAGCCTTCCCTGGTTCTCCCTTTATCTCCAATATGAGCCATCACCCCTGGTCCCTACCCCAGCCTTCAGTAAGGTCTAAGAGGAGGCCAAGGCCAGGTTTTGAGAATAGCAGGAACTCATAGCCTCACCATATGGCCCATTGACTCTGGCCTTCCCCTGCGGCCTCTGACCTGTGCCTGTCAACTCCGAGGGTCTACCCTTCACCTACTACTCTATGCCCTTGATGCCCACGCACCTGGGACAAGATCTGCAACTGGATCTGCTCAAATTCCTCCAGGCGGCTGTACTTGGAGAGACTCGAGTGGAACAGGGACATGGAGGTCACCTTGTTGCACTCAGCCCTCACCTTGCTGAGGGCTGTGATGACCTCTGGCCGTGTGAGCAGGGACACAAAGGTGAAGTCCTCCTTCTGCTCCCGGAAGGGGTACTGAGGGACACTCACTAGCCCTGCAGGAGTAGGGACCAAGGACCAGCATCAGACCTGCCTAGGACACACCAGGGTCAGGACAGATCTACAGAGATGGAGGGACACTACTCTTGCCTCCTCCCAGAAGACAGGCTCACATGCCCAGATCCTCTCCTCCCTACAGCCTGCTGAGTGGCCCAAGGCTCTGGAGCTAGGTACCTGCTCTAGGATTGGTAAAGGAATTCCCTCCAAGCCTTTCCAGTCACAGACTCCTTTGAGAAGTGGGTGAGAAGTGTGGATCCCTCCCCATCCATTCCTAACCACGTTGCACACTACCCCAAGGCCCTTCCAGACCCTGCCCTGGAGCACCGAGGAAGGAAGATGTGGGCACCAGGGCCTATTAGAATGCCTACCGTCCACACCCCAGTCTGTGTCCTGGGCACATCACACACAGGAAGCCAGGTCCAAGGAGGTTAGCAGGGATCAGTGAGCTCAAAGCAAGGAGGGCTCTCGGGTCCCAGCATCCTGCTCTGAGACTCAATCTACTCTTGCCACTGGTGAAGAAACAGCTGTACCCTTTAAGTCAGATCACCAGAGGCCCTTCCATCTACCTCTGAATGACTATTTTCCTAGTACATGTTCACCTTGAGACTTTTGCGCTACTTGGATCAATATTTTCCAAAAAATGCTGGGGGCAGTGGCTCATGTCTATAATCCCAGCACTTTTGGAGGTGGAAGCGAGAGGATTGCCTGAGTCTGGAGGTTTGAGACCAGCCTGGGCAACTTGGCAAGACCTCATCTCTACAATAAATCAAAAAATTAGATGGGTGTAGTGGTGCATGCCTGTGGTTCCAGCTACTTGGAAGGTTGAGGTGGAAGGATCACCTGAGCCAAACAGGTCAAGGCTGCAGTGGCCGTGAGTGTACTCTAGCCTGGGAGACACAGTGAGACTCTGACTCAATAAATAAATAAATAAGCCGGGCTCAGTGGCTCAGCCTGTAATCCCGCGCCTTGGGAAGCTGAGGTGAGTGGATTGCCTGAGCCCGCAGGTTCGAGACTCGCCTGGGCAACTTGGTGA